AAACTGTGTCCTGCTGGATCCGTTCAGTCATCTGATCTGATGGACCGGTTCTGTCTGAGTCTCCACACTGAATGACTGCTGGAGGTTGATGGAGATGCTGAACCTTTAACTGGATTCACAGGTTTCTGTGTTTGTTTGTTTTTTGAAGGTGAAAATGTAAAAGTTGTCTCAAAGTTCAGCCAGAACCTTGAACAGAATTCTGGTTTACGTCAGTGAAGCGTGAGTGAAGGCCCGGTACCGAGCAGCAGCTCCGCTCGCTGGTTTCCTGGAATCCCTTCTGGCCGTCTGACAGCTTCAGCGTGCCAACAAAAGAGAAAGCAGCTCCCGTCGGCATGCAGCAGTTACATAACGCTCCTCACGAAAACCCAACTGGTTGCCAAACTTGATGCTAAGCTAAGCTAATTATCTGCTCCTAGCTTCATAGCAATGTACAGACATGAGAGTGGCATCAGTCATTTAGTCCTGATTAACCCTGATTAACCCTGACTAACCTCACTGGGATCACACTGCTGAGTGTTTATGAGCCTCTGGGCTGAACCACACCCAGCAGTAAACACCTGAAACACCTGCACAGGTTAAGGACAGCGTCTTCCACGTCTGTGTCGTCACCTGGTCAATAAAATCCGCCTGCAGACAGACACACGTGTTTAAAACTGTGATGGTGGTTCCTGCTGCAGCTTCCACGATCACGTTAAACACAGAACTGCTGGTTAACTTCTAGTCAAACAATGTTCAAGCAGCAAACTTTTCCTCCAGAATCACAGGAAACATCCACTGGTTCCCTGCTTTAGTTTACAGCCTGCAAGCTTCATCTGAAATCAGTACATTTGAATTTTTATCTTGCAATTTTGCATTAAATTAAGAGTTGGGAACAAGTCTGGATGAGAAACACCAGCAGCAGGCTGAAGATGTGAGTGTATTCTTTATAGTCTTTGTGTTCGTCGTGTCCTGCAGGCCGACAGAAAGACAAACGCGACGGTTCTGATGTGCAAATGAAGCAGGTTTTATTCAGTGTTTTCCTACATTTGTGCAAAAAAGAGCAAAACCTGATTTGTGCAAATTTCACAGTAACACGAAGAACAAATGGACAAAGTTCCAGAGAAACAGACCTGAGACGTTGGTTTATATTTACATTATATATATATGTAAGGTAAACCTTGTATGAGTTTGTCAGAACATTTCTTCATTTCCTTCACGAGTGCAGCCCGGTGTTCATAAAGTTCTGTCTGCTGGTGCAGCACCTGCAGGATGCCCACCTGCTGCCCTCTGATAGGTGCCTTTAAATCATCCTTTACATCCTGAGCTACAGGGCTGAGAGGTTTGAAGGTAAAGACGGAGGGCGGACGGTGAGCTGGTTCCTCTCTGGTCTCACCAGCGGCCCTCCTTCACCACGGCCCAGTGGGCTGCGAAGGCGGTCAGGGCCCCCCGGTACCGAGTGCTGACGAACACCAGCTCGGCGTCCTGGTGGGCCGGGTACATGTTGAAGGAGTGGTAGGAGGGCTGGCCGGCCATCAGGAAGCGCCCCCTGCTGGTGACGAACACCAGCTGCTGGATGAAGCGGCCGTACTTCCCCGACACCTGGACGATGGCCTCGCCCTCGAACAGCTCCATCTCACAGAAGTCGCCGACCTTTCGGCCAATGAGCTGCGACCAGATGGCGCCAAATCGGAGCTGCAGCCTGAGGAGGATCAGAGTCGTGATTAAAGCCTCACAACAGAAACACGACGTTCATGGTTGAGCTGCTCCTCTTACATCACAGGCAGTCAGTCCAGTTCTGACTCAGGTATGTATGTCACTCGACCTTATGTAACCCAGCAGCAGTGGATCGTATCGATACGAGACTTTTTCAGACCTCTGCATCGTTTTCCTGATGTATGCCACCTTTTGTTTGGTTTCTAGAATATATTTACCAGAATCATCCATGAACATGTGACTCGTCCTTTGTTCTTCATATTTACACTAAATGTCATTTTAAAAGAAGAAAATGTTGTAATTTTCTGGTGGATCTTTAAGTGCACAATAAAAAATCAATCAATCAGCTCCAATCAAACAAATATTAAACGAACATGTGGAGCTGTCACATGCACAATTTAAATGTCAAATAAAACAGCTTTCAGTGTTTAAATATAATAAACATGTTGATTAATGCACCAAAGCCGAGCTCGTTAGAGGAACCACTGCCACTAATCACACAGAACACATGAAACTGCTGCTGGCTGCTTATTGGAGCTTCTTCTGTCACATGATTGCGTTGAATTAAACTACGACAGTGATGCTGCAGAGAAGCTGCCAGTGTTTCCTGTCTGGTTCTGGTCCCGCTGATGGACCTGAGCACTCACCCGAAAATGAAGCTGCTGTAACCCGACCACACTCGGACTGCTGTGATGCGGCCGTTTCCCGTCAGAGTGGACTCGGCGCCGCTGGCCGAGCCGACGGCCGGAGAGTACGAGAAGTGAGGTTCCTCTGCAGGGACGACAAGCACAAAGTTCTGAAGCCTGCTCTCCTGTGTGTGTGTGTGGACCAGAACCAGAAACTGGACTCCAGCTGCTGAGCTCCAACCCACAGCAGAGAGCAGAACCTTCAGCCAACACGGTGGAGCTTCTAAGAACCAGCTCTGCTTGGTCCTTGTAGTTTATTCATCCTATCGATCTGTGTGTGGATCAACATGCTGAGATCTCGAAGGCAAAAACAACTTTTAATCAAATTATAAATGTTCCTATAAATGATAAAGGGGAGACGTCAGATTTGTCCGATGACGTCTCGTCCCGGTGAACCGGAACCGGATGTGCATCAAGAATAAAAGCTTCACTGAGGTTTCAGAGACTCTGTTGAGTTTCCTTTGAACCAACAACACAGAAGCTCGTCTGCGTTCGAGGCTACGACTGGAAGAAATGAAACTCTAATGACACATCTGCATGTTTCTGAGCAGGTTGCAGGTGTTCTGGTCCGATGACACGCTGACGAGATCCCAGAACCGCCTCAGGAACTCAACAGTTCAGCCCGTTGTGTCTCAGTTTGGAACAACTGTCTGGAGCTGTTATCTTATTTGATTCTTTATTATTACTATTATTATTAGATTTTTTTCTTTCTATAGTTATTTTACTTTAGGTTCTGTTTTCCTGTTGCTCAGTCCAGGGCGACACCAGCAGCCAGAACCAGACTCCTGGCATGTTGTGTCCGTACTGGGCCGTTCTGTAACTGGACTTATCAAAGCAGACAGAAGAAAACAGAATAAACCGCCTGAACAAGAGTGAAGCTGTAAGTATGACTCACGTCAGTGGTTCTCAATCTGGGGGTCGGGTGATTCCAGGAGGTCGTCAGATCGTTGTCAAAAAATAAATAAAGTCTGCATTTACCAAATAACGTGTATCAGAGGTGTCAGGATTAAACTTCTCCCACTCCTCTGTTAATGTTGTGATATTATTATTATTCTGCTTTGCTCTGTCTAAATGATTTCCTTTTGTTTTTATATTTTTTTCCTTTTTCATTTGTTCCAAATAAATTCCGTTCATTCATTTAAAGGAAGATGAAGGTGTTAAGAGATGAATCTGTGGCGTGAACACATGAATGATGAACAGCAGAGTTATGAGACATTAAAGATTCAATCTGGGAGGTCGAGGCTCAAACAGTTTGAGAGCCGCTGGTTTCTGTCTCTCTGAAGGTAATAACGTCATTTAAACGTTGATTTTCTGACTACACAGAAACATGTTTATAAAAAGCACATTGCAGCCGGTCGGTGGTGTTTGGTGGAGACTCACCGTCGGCCTGGACGGAGGCAGCGAGCAGCAGGACGAGCACCCAGCAGAGCATCCTGAGGAACAAGACAATCAAGCATCAGAGTCGGTTAGAAGCCCATAAACGTCCTCTGCAGGTTCTATCTCATGCCTGGATTCTCACCTGTTCATCTTTCTTCATGCATGGACAGCGAAGCAGAGTCAGCAGATCTCCACAGTTGTGCAGCGCTTCTGCATCGGCCTCCACAGCTTCAACTGCTTAAGGTGTGACTTCCGAGGGCGGCGCTATTTATCCACATTCCTGCTCATCCTCCGCCCTCCTATCATCAGCCCCGTGGCAGCTCTGCTTCCTGGTAGCTGCTGGATCGAGGAAACTACATCAGAAATGTGGTTTTTATTCCAGTTGTGCACCAGTCAGAGCCAAAAACACGAGGATATGATGGATGTGTCACGATACAGTCGGTGGTGGGCGAGGAATGTGAGTCTCTGCCAAGAATGCGTTTGTTGTCTCTGCAGAGGCCGTGAAGAGATAAAAACATGGTCAGCATGTCAGGAAACAAAAAGCTTTTAAATGCTTCAAGAGCTGCAACTGCTGAGCGTCTGGTTCCAGCTGCTGACCTCCTACTGGACCTCCTACTGGACCTCCTACTGGACCTCCTACTGGATCAGCTGGAACCAGACGTCCACCTGAGAGCTTCTCCTCTCGTTTCAGTTCCTCCTCATCATGTCCTCACTGCTGCTGTTTATGCACAACGTCTTCATGACTTCTGTCTCATTTTTCTGCCTCGTGAAGCCGAATTTTAAAATGTTTCCTGTAAATAAAGATGATTATTGATTTAAATCAATGCACAGTGAGACAGTTCGTGGGACAAACACAGAAAACAGGTTAAAAAACAAGAGACGATATTTCAAAGCAGTTCTGGTGTAAGTCATGTAGGAAGAAGCTTCAGGAAGAAAAACATCCATCATCTCTACACCTGAACCTTCACCAGGGTCATGGGGGGCGGAGCCTATCCAGCTGACTCAGGGTGACCTTCCAGCTGTGAGGCCACGGTGCTCACCACCCAGACATGGATGGATGGAACTCCAGTGGTGCAAAGTACACATATCAAAAAGACAAATAAGAATATATGAATATATCTACAGAAGGAGCCAGTAGGAATGAGCACGATGACGGCCACACGGTAGAATAAATATACGGCACTGCTGAGCTAAGAACACTGTGTAATTATAAATAATTTAATATATAAAATATAATAAGAACCTGTAAAAGGAGGAAGAATCGACAGTCCTTGAACTCATCGTATCAGAAGAATGAATCCACTCTGAGCTTAAATTTGTGACGCTTCATTCAAATCAATTCACTTCACATCTCTGTTCAAAATAAAGCATTTAAAGGAAACAGATTGTGTAGAATGTAAAACATGTGGTGGTTCCACTCCGACCCGTCCTGTAACTGACCCGTCAGCAGACGAGCCGCCGTGCAGGCTGGAGCTCAGTCGGCTCCGACATGAATCACAGCTTTCACTGATTAAAACTCTGTTTAGACACTTAGATATGAAAACACATGAATTCACCGTTTTTGCTCTGAAATCTCTCGTTTGACGAACAAATCTGAGTCCAGCTACAGAACCAGCACGGTTCTGGTAAATATCTACGGCTCTGTGGTTCTGATCTGAACTTCATTCTTCACTGAGCAGCATCTTCTGCTTCTGCTTTGCACGACGACACTTGTCTTGATGTGTGGTTGCTTTTATTTTGACCTATTTTTATATTTGTATCTTGCACGTTGTGCCTTCGTCTCTATTTATTGCTGCACCGACCCACCAGAACTAATTCCTCATGTTGGACAAACTACACCTGGAAATAAATCTGATTCATTTTAGAAATATTTCTCAGCTATTGAACTTGAATTAACAATCTAATGTATTAAATCAAAAGAAAACATTTTCTTTTCTTTACTATTTGAGAAAATGGAGATTTCTTTTAAAAGAAACTGAACGTTCGCTCACAGCGAGTGTCTGATGTTGTTTTAGGTAAAGGTGTGAACTCAGTGTGAGTTTTTGATTGACATCATTTAGCAGATGCAGAAGGAGCAGATACAGAGGAATATTATTTCAGTCGTGTTGTCTTTGTCCCTCCCTGTGAGCAGCTGCCAGCTCTCGACAGATTGAAGACATTTGGGCGGTTCTTTGAATCAAAGCGCGTCAGGAATGTTTTCTTGCCGTCAACACGTTGTTTTCCAGAAAGCTGCAGCTTCATGTCACGCTGCCTTTGACCTGCACAGCAGATCCCATTAAACAGAAGATCAGTGACCAGTTAAACAGAGAACATTTAACCAGCTGCAAACTGAGTCATTTTCACAGATGCAAACTTAACATTATTCTCCAAAACCAACCACCAGAGGGCGTTTCTGGGCGGTGAGCAGCACTTCAGAGCCAATTCAGCCATTCAGTTATACCGGGGGTGTCAAATCCTGGTCCTGGAGGGACACAGTCCAGCATGTTCTAGATGTTTCCCTTCTTCCAACACACCTGATTCAGATGATCAGCTCATCATCAAGCTCTGCAGAAGCCTGAAAATCTTCCTGATCATTGAATCAGGTGTTTTGGAAGAAGGGAAACATCGAGAACATGCTGGACTGTGGCCCTCCAGGACCAGGACTGGACACCCCTGAGTTCTACTCTGAACATGCAGGTTTTGGCTCTTTGGTTCAGGGGTTCAGTCAGTGCATCATGTCAGGAGTCATGAGCTCAGTGTTGGTGCAGAAGGACGGAAACATCAGATGCTGCATCGATGTGTGACCAGAACATTCCTCATCTCCTCACGCTCGATGCCACGCGTTCATTAACAGTGACTTCCTGGAAACCAGTTCTTCCGACCAAAGAAGCCCACAGAGGAAAATATGACACAAGTCGGGGACAGTTCAGGTCTCAGATCAGCACAAATGAACCTGAACCACGTGTTTTCTGGTGTTCTCAGTAATAATGAGTCTTACTGATCTGAAGGCAAATCCATCCAGAACTCAGCATCTGGAGGAACTGAAAATGGAAATATTGAAGTACTTTAAAGCTAAAATCAACTTTTACAAATAAAAATGTTGGTTTTAAACTTGAGGCTGACATGTTTGCAGAGTGTGTAGCTTAATTAGATTAATTAGATTAATTTAATTAACACGCTGGAAATCTGTTCTGCAGTTGTGGCGACTGTCAGACAAACATAGGCAGCAGCAGTCCACGAGGAAACTGTCCATCCATCATCTCTACACCTTCATCCTCACCAGGGTCATGGGGGGCGGAGCCTATCCCAGCTGACTCAGGGTGAAGGCAGGTTCACCTGGACAGGTAACCAGTCTATCACAGGGCTACACTTAGAGACAGACAACCAAGCACACTCACATTCACACCTACGGACAATTTACAATCACCAATTAACCTCAGCATGTTTGTGGACTGTGGGAGGAAGCCGGAGAACCCGGAGAGAACCCACGCTGCACGGGGAGAACATGGAGACTCCACGCAGGAAGATCCCGGGTGTCCTCACCGGGACGCCAACCGGTGACCTTCTAGCTGTGAGGCCACGGTGCTAACCACTGATCCACCTGCAGCCCGACTTCGAACGAGAGCCCATTATTTGATAATTTGGTTAAAGTTTGTCAGAAGACGTGATGAGCTGAAATAAATGATTGTAATCACGTCTCCATCAGGCCTGTTGTTCAGAATGAACCAAACGGTGGCAGAACAACATGGAACTGGTTGGGTTTGTCTGTCGTCAGGTGCAGATTCTGTGGAAACACCTGCAGCAGGAATCTCCACCAACAGAGTCCCAGAGTCACCTGTCAGCCAGCGAGGAGGGCGTGGTGCTGCTGCAGCCATGTTACAGGAAATACCACAACAGGCTGACACGAGGCAGGCATGGCATCACTATTATTACAGCTATGTTTCAGTCAAAGATGAACCAAAAACGTGCCGTCTATCACGGTGTCCGCCTAAATAACCAATAATCCACGTTCCAACCACATGTTGAAAAACTGCTTTCTATTAAAGTCCCATTTTAACTCCTGCAAAATGTACAATTTAAGCAGAATCTCAGCTCTGACACTTTGCAGGTGTTGACTTGTCATTTCAGTTATTTGCATTCATGTCAGAATGAAGTGAAAGAGGCTCATCACACAAACTGTACAGTCCCAATCGCCGCATGTCTTTGGATAAAAGTCACATCTGTGTAATGGAAGCGCTGTGATGCTGCAGAGAGAACAACTGGTTCCTTCTGTGTCTAAACTCTTTTCTATTAAATTTTACATTCATGAGGGTTAAAGTGTGGATTCCTTTATTGATCATCAGATAATAAAGTCCCAGTTACTGCATTTTATCTGGATTAAAGTCAAACGTGTCATCAGATGCAGTTTTAAAAGAAGCATTCTGCAGCTGTCAAAGGAAACATGACACCATTTATATTTACTTCAGTAGAAGCTAAATGAAGACAGCGACCACATCACCAATAACCCTCAAATAATCAATAGGTTTTTGCTTTTGCTCTGCCAGTGAGGACTTCTGGATCATTCTGGAAGAACTGGTTCCTTCTGCGTCTAAACTGTTCCTGTTAAAGTGGTAGTTTAACGTTTGCATCATGTCAGACGTGTTCCTTCTCTCAGATCTACGTCTGGCAGCACGTTCTTCTGTTTTCACTCTAAACTGCTGCTCCTCATGTGGAGAACCTCAGGGATCCACCTCAGGGCCCATCTATGGTCCTTATGAGCTGCTTCAGGCCCCAACAGGCAGAAGGATCAGTGAATGCTGCCCATCCTCCTCCATCACTTCTGTCTAATTCATATTTAATGTACAGTTCTGAATGAGGAAGCCTTCAACTAAATGCGATCAGCCGCTGAGGAATCCACGTGTCATCCTTCACTCAGTAACGAGGTTTGACGGATCATTTTTGTGGTCAAGGTGTGCAGTGTTTACCTGAGGACTGCGGCGTGGTTTAATTAGCTCCTGTCATTAGTGTGGTCACCCCTCAGGCTGGATCACAGTCCTGGAGATCAGCCAGGCCTCCGCTGACGCATACGTTCAGTACCAGAGAAGTGAAAGTGGAAGTCCTGGGCCTGCCTGGGAAACAACCCACCGACTTTAAGGTTCTTCTGTTCGTTTTTAAATCTGCATACGTTGGTTCTGTTCAGTTCATGTATATGTTTCACAACACCTGGTCTCATCGCGCTGAACGGGGAACCCAACAACCAGAGCTGCCTTCGGACTCCCTCTGAGCAAGCGGTGGGAAGGAACCAAAAAAAACAACCCCTAACAGAGAAGGGAAGAAAACCAACAACCTCCAACAGAACCAGACTCTGGGAAGGCTGGACCGGTCGGGGTCTGCATCAGAACCTCTCAGATCAGCTGTCAGGTGTCCCAGTGTGGACATCCTTCCTCTCTGGTGCCGATTCATCACATGACATTTATGTAATTCATTAAAATAAATTACCGTAATGTCCAGACTATAAGCCGCTACTTCTTTCACACACTTTGAACACGGTGCAGCTAATCTATGGATTTTTTTAGAGACCAGTGCGGCCTCTATATGGACACAACTGGTTTTCTTTTTAAAGTTAGAGGGTGCGGCTTATATTCAGGTGCGTCAATAGTCCAGACATTACGGTACAAGAAAGCTCTCCTTCGACCATCATAGTGAACCACGAGGAGGCTGAAGAACCAGCCATCGGTGGAACCCTGCAGCTCTGCATCACAGCAGAACCTTCCTTTACATGTTGTTCATCTAAATCTGTGTCAGGAGGATTTTAATGCAGTTTAAGTCCGACAAATGTTCTGAAGATCCAGAATTTTCCTTCCATCAGCCGACAGCTCAGTGAAGCTGGTCTCGGTCTCACAGGTGACCGGACCTGAACACTGATGTCTGGGGTTCTGTCTCTTCCAGCCAGTCTGAGTCTCCTCTCTGCAGGACCGATGGTGTCTCCATAAATCACCTCAGAGAGTCGACCAGAACTCTCATTGGCTCCCGTTACATCTGGGCTCTGAGAACCAGAACCAGAGTCTCTGTGACCTGCTGCCAGATCTGTAGGAAACACAGAACGGATCAGAACCTTCACGACTAGATGCTGCTTCACATGATGGAAGAATTTCTTCAATCCGACTCATAGTTTTTGAGCTGTGGTGGTTTGCTTGAGAGGATAAATCCTAAAGTCTCCAATGAAAAGGCGGGAATCACCATGACAACCAGGGACTCAGCAGCTGATTGGCTGATTGGCCTCCACATGGCTGCCTCCATGGACCGTGTATAATGTTGACGTTTCATATCCAACAGCAGCTGTGCTTTACATAGACAACACTTCCTGTGCTGTACTATCAAAATAAAAGCTCACCGATGTTCTTCGGCATCTTTCTCACAAACACTTACTGATGAACAACCATCGCATGTTTGGGATCAGTGTCAAAGTAAGAGTCTGTGCTCAGTGATAGTAGCTCTGGCAGGACCACGTCTCAGTCTCACAACCAAGACAAACATCTTAGAAGTCACCAGAATGCAATAAACAAATAAACAAACAAACAAATAAATCTGAAAAATCTGAGGGGTGTTCAAAGGAAACAAGCTGACTTGTGATGATAAAAGCTGTTTCTCTGCTTCATACATTTAAAATATTGGCTGAATTGTGAGGATTTGCTTGGTTGTAAACCCACGGAGTAGTTACAGGAAGTTACCAAGATTCCATTAAATATGTTTGACTTTCAAAATAAAAGCTCAGAGTCTTTAAAAACAACTAATATATTTTAAAAAGTGCTGTCTTTTCAAAATAAAACGCAGATATATAAATGATACTTTGCCACACACAGATCATCATCAGGCTCACAATACCGCTGATAACTTGGGTTTGAGCACAACTGTTTTCCTTCAGTTATACAATCTTATTTTATTCTTTTCTTTTAGTTTTACGTCTGGTCTAGCGCCCCCTGCTGCTGCTTTGTTTTCCTCAGTCCAGATGCTTTCTGCTTAAAGGGTTTTCAAAAGAGAACTCAGACAGCTCCTACAATTAAAACTGTACAGATGGTTAAAATGACATCAGTTCTGCCTGGTTCTTCCAACATTCAGACTTTATTTGATCCGATCCTTCTGCCACCACTCAGTCCTTCAGTCTGCGGCGTTCAAAGTGCTGCTGCAGTCTGATGAACGCTGAGCTGCAGGTATCCAGCCGATGAAACCGAATCCTCGCTCCAGCCGCTGATCTGCGGAGCTGCTGCTTGTTTGGTGCATTAACACGTCGTCAGGTCTCTCGTTAACAGAACCGTAAAGAAAGAGCAAAAGAGACGCTTCTGGAAATCTGCAGGCCCAATAGAACCTGAAGGAGCCTGAAGGAGGAGCTTCAGATCTCCAGTCGGTTCAAACGTCCACAGCAGCCAGAAGAGTCCTCAGGATCTCCAGAGAGAGAAGATGTCCTCTGGATCCACAATGACCCACGTTCTGTCACCTCAGAGCA